CACACACACACACACACACACACACACACACACACACACACACACACACACCTCCTCTCAAGACTCCAAAAGTCAAAACACATTTTTTTTGCTTTACACACAATTTGCTATTCAAAATGACACTTTTTAAATGAACTGAACACAGTTCTCATGCATAAGACACAACTATCTGACATAAAGTCACATGTTTGCAATTTCAAAACACTGCCATTCAAAATGACAATACATGAGCTAACTATATGTTGTACCTGGCCAAACTCCTGAATACTTAATGGTTAACACTCCAATCAGGAGCACTATAAAAAGATCTCTTATAACAACAATGGAAGATGCTGCAGAGAGAGGAAGAGGGAGGGTAAGAATGAGAGGGGGAAGAAGAGTGAGAGGTAGGGGTAGAGCTGGTAGATGAGTTCATGGATAAAGAAGACAACAACCTTCAAATGAAATCAGAGCAACCTTAGTTGATCATGTCATCAACCACTGGCTGACAGGCAGCTGGACAGAGAGCAGCCCAACCTGAGCCATTTTACTGTTGCTGCTGTCATCTGGACATTTAGACTGGAGCACAGGTGTGTAACCAAAATTTATTTCACATGATGTAATGCACCCATGTCACAGTGTTTCAGCTGGGTGACACTTCATGAATGGCTGATGTCATACAAGTTGAACTATTCTAGTATTATGGAAAGCAAACTAGAGATGTGAGTGCTTTACATTATGCCCAACAGTGTGTAGTTGGYTAGACAAAAGCTGGGAATATGCATGACGTGTGTGCCACTTGGTGCAAAAGTTTGATTTTGACAATGCTATTTGTAGTTTTGGTTGCAGTGCTTCATTTTGCAGGCTACAGGAGGTATTTTGTAGTTTGGGTGTGTGGTTTTGTGAATTGTGTTTAGTATTTTGATAAAACCACACTAGTTTGCAAAACTGTTTCAGCAATTGTAAAAAAACTGTAAAACAAGTTGTTGGAAACACGGCTACAGATAGCGTACTACACTTTTCAACAAATGGATTGTTTGTGTTTTTTCCAGTTGTGAGTTTTTGTCCATTTAACTGCCTTTATAATTGCCTGAAAGAGCCTTATAGATGGATGCACAGTCTAACTGCTGTGGATAACTGCTCCTCAAAACTCCATGTTGTTTGGATGCACAACAGTCAGCTTATAGAAGCAAAATAGCTGAAGTTACAGTTTTTCTCAGTTGCTAAAACACTAAACCCTGTTCTTTGAACCAAATGCACAGTTCCCCGAACCCATTTTTCTAAATGGCCACCCTTTTGTCAGAATACTAAGCACTTTTCATTCAGTTAGACACAACATGCAGACCTATTTCACCCACTAAAACACATTTTCCCCTTTGATTCACATGGGTTGCACAATGATATGCACAGGTAGCTAAAATGAGACACAAATAAAGTACTGCTGTCTGAACTGAAACACAGCAACTCAAAATAGATCACACATGTGTCTAATGATATGACCAAACCAATACAAGGCAGAACAAGGAGCCCTGGTCATCAAAGCTTCACTGTGAATAGAAACAATCACAGAGGAAAATACTCTAAATATACATACTTTGAAGAACTGGATGCACTTTTGTTGGTGCAATGTAAAAACAAACAGCACTTATATATAAGAATTATTTATAGGCTATACACTCACGCAACATATAGACTACAGTAACCACCTAAGATACATCTTGATCAAGACTGACAAACAGGTGATGGCTGACCAGCTGGACATGGTGGTCGACAAACAAGAGAAGAAGGCAGAAGTAATAGATGTAGAGATCATAAGTGACTGAAACACCAGGAAGAAGACGAACGAGAGGATGGACGAATACCAAAATGAAAAAAAAAAGAAGTTATGGAGAGTCAAAGTATCAATAGTCCAGGTGGTCACTGGAGCACTTGGTGCTGTGACCCCCCAAACTAGAGGAGTGACTTCAACAG